CAAAATCAAGCTCATGGGGACCGCCCTTGATAATGCTTCTTTTGGCACCCAGATCATGAGGTTTAATGCAGCTGTGCATTCCAGGCCTTGGGTCAGGGCTGTGCAAATTATTCACAGTAAAATTCAGCTGCAACATTGGCATTGGCATTTCAACTGGGAATCCTTGCCAGCAACTTTTTCTTGCACATTGCTCAAAAACCTACCTACTTACTTTTTACTGAAAACCAGCTTGTAAAATAAAAATTGGCCACCTGAGAATTTGCTCAGGCACTGAGAAACAATTATGCTTTAATGTGAAACACTAACTTCATCAGGTTGTGAAATTTGGTTTTTGAAAGTATTCTTGAAGCTGCAAATTTCGTAATGGAGGTTGTTATCTCCTCTGTGCTTTGTGCTCCTTTACATCTCTGTAGAGTCATCTCAGATGTTCTCAGTCTACTTTTAAAAAATGGAATTAAAATGGGCAAAAGGTGATGTGGGACATGCTGTATTTTATGTGGCATTTCTGCCTTAATTTCCATTAGCTGGGACAGTTTTAAACTTGAAAAAAAAACTAAAATAAAAAAAAATAAAGAAGAAACAAAAACATATCAAATATATATTTTTCAGAATGGCTTGCAAGTTGGAAAAGCTTCATTAGCTTTAGAGTAGTGAATTTCAGGATCTTTTACAAATGAGCCCTATACTGTCAGGGATTGAATCCCACTCTGTCTACTGAGATTATGCCTATTAACATATGCCCTTTTTTGGAATAATTTACAGTACTTTAATTTTTGCACCTTTCCCCCTTTTAATACTGGTGGTCTGATGCTTTTCATTTGAACAGGTACTTTAAAATTAACTCTGTGAGCTGAGATTCTGTGTGGGTTGATATATTCTCTCCAATTGGCAGTGCACTGTCATCTTGAGCAACTCGCACCGCCTCTTAATTTCTGGACTTTATGGAACAAACAGTTCCAATAAGAACTTGTTTTCCCAGAGCTTTGAAGAATTACTTTTTTGGACTACAATTCCTAGAATCCCATAGTCAGCACAGCCACTGGCCATGTTGGTTGTGGCTTTCTGAGAACTGTAGCCCCCCCCCCCAAAAAAAGCAATTTAACAAAGATCCCACTGGTGTAAATTGTTAGATTCTCTTGCTTTCACGTGTTTATATCAGAATGCAATCAGAATGCCATTCACAAAGCAAATAGCTTTTAACCACTATGTGAAAAAGTTTTGCATACAACTTGATTTTTGCTCTTGAATCTACTTCTGCTTGCAACTTTCTGTAGTTGTGAAGATTTTTTGATGACAGTCATACCTGCACCTTTTCACAAGAATGGATCTTTGTTTAAACATTTACCGGTATACATACAGCTTTTCCTCATAGCTATAAAAACTATTTTTGTAAGATGATGTAACATGCCTGTGACTTTCCAAAAATTACATGTTTTTATAATGTTTGAATTAGTACATTTAGATTTTAATGCATAGAAGTAATCAGAGAAATGACATCTGTAGAATTAGGCAAGTTAGTGTTGTCGGTGTAGATTCTAGAGGTGGCTTGTTTCACAAATAGATGATGATGATGATGATGATGATAATAATAATAATAATAATAATAATAATATGCCATCAAGTCAATTCTGACTTATGACAACCCTTTTCGGGGTTTTCTAGGTAGATAATGCTCAGAAGTGGTTTACCATTCCCTACTTCCAGTGGCATTCTGGGACTGTGCAGCTTGCTGAAGGCCACATAGGCTGGCTTTACTCTCAGGAGGCACAAGTGGGGAATTGAACTCTCAACCTCTGGCTCCACATCCAGATACCTAAATCACTGAGCTATTCAGGCAGCTGAATGGCTCAAAAATCCTTTTATTCTTGTTATTAGCTGTGAGGGTGGGGTGGTATCATGTTCTGAGAGGCACCAGCATCCCTAGTCCCCTCAGAATTATTTTTAAAATTATTGGGTTTTTTTATTGCCACTGGGGGGGGGTTAAGGTTTTTTTTTATTAAAAATGTTTTTGTAAGAGATTATTTTGAGTGGTGGGAGAGTGTGCACAAGGAGGGCACATTGCGTGGCAGCCCTCAGATATCTGGAGATTGTTTACTCTGGTGTAAATCCCTTAATGGTTTTCGAACAGCAACTAATTTGTTGGTTACTGAAGTAATTTGTTAGCTGTTCTCCAAGAATAAATTGTACTGCAAAAGAATAAATCACATAAAACACTTGTTTGGCAGCTATAGCAATTGTTTGTCATGTTCTTTTCCTCTCTGATCCTTAATGCTTTCCAGGCAGAATTCAGTTTAAAGATACTTTGCCTCTTCTCCAACTATCTCACTCATAAGTTCATTCATTCATCTCATGCGGGCATTCCACTATTTATTTCTAATTTAGAATTCTATGTTGTTCTTTTGATTGTAGGCTCCTGAGGCTTCATTCATTACTGACAGTGCTGAAAATGGTTGGGATCTATGCCACACATACGTGAATTCGCACAGATTGCAGAGATAGGCACTGGCCTTCTGCCTGCTGCTCTTTCATAGTGTCATTGCTAAACAAGGCAGCTGGGTGACAGATTTTGTTTGGGGGACTCACAATAGGAATTGCCTTTTTCCTTTCCCTCTTCCACTCTTCTCAGTAGAAGCTGCTGCAGTGAGTGCAGGAAACCTTCCTGTGGCGTCCCTCAAGTGCCTCCTTCTACCACACCAACATTTCGTACTGCCTGCAGACTCTACCCAGAGAAGAACAGTATCTTATTCTGCTACAGCAGAACACAAGCCCTTTCAGTAAAAATCACACTCATGCAAATGCAGATACAAAATCTATTAATGTAATACCTCAGTCTATATCTGACAAAATCTTATTCCCCTGCCTGATATACTCCAAAGAGCCCTAATATTTCCCTGTTTATTCATATTAGTCTATGAATCTACTTTCCTAAATATTTTTCTTAACTAAATTTATTCAACAATATACAATGAGATGTAGAGAATGTAAATTTAAGTTGAGGGTTCAGAAATAGGCACAGAGAAAAGTGCCATAGTGCAGGCTTATACCAGAGCATATTGTAACCACAAATATTTAGGAGATTTATCTAGGCCACCTTTTCAATTGGAAATAACCAATGTGAGAAAATACTTTCTGGGATCTGTGCCTGCTTCTAGATTCACTGGTGCAGACAGATATCATTTACAGGTTTTGCTCTCAGCTCAGACCCCCTCCCTTGGGAAATGCATGGCAAGCCCAATCAGGAGACACTGAGTTTTTTGCCCCAACTACCCTTGGTGCCAGGATGTCTTTAAATTTTATTTCTTAAGCAATCACTCTAGATTCCAGAGAAATAGGTTTCACTTTCACTTCTTCTAGCAAGCAGAAATGTAGCCTTTTGTTTTCTAATCTGTCGGAGTAAATGGGACGCTGAATACTAGGAATTATTATTAGAGATATTCAAACTATCAAATTCAGCTTTGGATATATTTGGAGCAGTCCAAATATGGCATTATTCAGTGAATTCCAAATATTTCCAAATCTGAATGCACATCCTACTTAACACAATCATAGCCATGTGTGATATGTATGACTATATTTTTTCAGCAGCATATCTTATACCTCAGGAATTAGTACATATATGCCTCCTAACCATTCAGTTCATAGGAGAGAAAGAAAGCTAGTGCAGGATCCTCCTTCAAACCATTGTGACCCTTGAGCCACACAACTTATAAGAAAATTAGGGGCCAGCATGGATATATTTCGACCTGCAGATGTGTAAGCAAGAGGGATACCTGTCTCTTTTAGAAATATTATCTGATGTTTTATTCTCTGTTCCTGGCAATAAAACAGGATCGCAATGGTGGATGGTTTCCCCTTTGATAGATGTCTAGGCTCATAAGAAAGCATGTTTATGCTTTAAAGTTTTTAAGTGATTTCTGTAGATGCCAGCTTCCAATAATCAGTTATTATTTGTGTTCCCCAAGAATACAACAGACATTTGCCTGTTTTCAACAGCATTTGAAACCTTATTAAGTTTGCTGTACGGTTAAAATGAGTAATATCCCTTTAACCTGTCTAAGCTCCTGGAATGAAAAGTGAGCATGTGATAAACAATCTTGTGATTTTATGTGTACTTACGGCTTTTCATTTATGGCCCTTACAATCTGACTTTTCATGGTTTATAGCTGGCAGGATTAGCACTGCGCCCGAGAGTCGGACACGACTGGACTAAATGTCAAGGGGAACCTTTACCTTTGGGCTGAGTTAGGGATGCCTAAGAGAGACAAAATGGTTTGTACAATAAACATCTGGATTTGGCTTTATTTAAAGAATATTGTAGATTTTAGAAAATATGCATAAATCTGCCAGTGAAACAAGCAGTCTATTTGTTTTGCATTTATTGTGAGAAATCTAAGGGTCATAATCTGGCTCCTGTAGATTAAAATTATCTCAGAGAGACAGTTCTTGCTATCTCAGAGTGCTATTGGGAGTGACCAGAAAATATTTTCAAGCAATAATCTTTAATGTATCCGCAAGACTGGCAAAATGTTAGGAAGAACCTTCAGAACACGGCCAAAGAGCCCGAAAAACCCACAACAACCAATAATCTTCAAGATAACTCTCATCTTTCCCCAGGTGACTTTGATCGGAGGCTGTCTCCTCACCCTCCTGGGCCGGTAATTTTTGCCCCACATGAGCCTTGGATCCAGCCATAGCTGAGTCTGAGGATCCCATTTAGGTGTCCAGGAGTGCCAGCGGCATGCCCCTCACAACCTTCCAAGTCAGAATAATAAATGAGGGGTTGTCCTTTGTTTATGATTCCTGGATTTTTAAAATTTAACCATATAACTCAAATCTGAATCTTATTTGAGTTGTTGTTTGATTTTTTTTACACACCTGGGAAAAGTGGTTTTAGCCAGTCTCTACCTCATAAAGACATTTTTTTTAGCCACACTTGGAAAACATCTCAAGTTACACAGACATTCAAAGGTTTTGGTTTGGTTTTATTGTTCAAACCCTAGGTTTCCAGATTTAGAAACTGCAGAAATGACCATGACTGCCAACAAGAATGCCAGTGTCACCAGGAGAGCTGGAGGAAATAAGGTGCCCCGGGATACTCTAGATCGGTAAGTACAGCACAAAATTTTTTCATTTTTTTCTTGTCTTGTATCTGATGCCATGCTTCAGTCTGCTTAAAATTGCAAGCAAGTTGCAATCACTAAATAGTTTAAAATAAAGACTGACCACATATGAATTATATGGTTTGTAAAAATATGGGCTTTTTAAAAAAAATTTTTTGTCTGAGCCATAGGGTTTTGATTTTAAATGCTATTTCTATTGCAATAATAATGTTTATATGGGAAAAGAGAAAGAAGTCAACTTGTGGTTAAGTTCTGTGATTTTGTCCACCTAAATTTGTGGCATGAAATAATGTATGTTGCAGAATGTGAGACATTAAGAAAGATCTAGACAAAGTGATATTTGCATTACTCCAATAGAAAGCCCACAGCGGATCTGCAGCTAACTAAGACTCTTCATTAACTACGTCTGTGGTCATGCAGCGCATTCACAGAATTCACACACATATCTAACTTACTGATATGAGAAAGAGCAAGAAGGTGCTCTGACATAATTTTAAGACATTGTCACAAAGCCACAGGGATGCATTGTGCTGATATTTTAAGTTATGTGTCATCATAGGCCGATAAAACAGTTCTTCTTATCCTTTTTATCTGAATCAAACAAGACAATAGAAATCCTGAATGAACTTGGTTATTGGATGAAGGTAAATATACTGAAATCACATTCAGACAGAGTATTGATATTCGTGGTGGACTCTAATCAATTTAGGGGTTGGTGGTTTCCCTGTTCTGACTATTATTGCTTTATACAGTTTAGGTCGCTCTTCATCTGACACTACTCTTTGAGATACAACTGGTGTTTGTGGACAAATATGTTTTTATCGGCTTCAGTTTTGTCTTTTGCTGGGTAAAAGTGATGTCATCACACTCATATGTAGCTTGGAAACTTCCTGACTGAATTATTGTTGTGACCCTCTCTACTTGCCTTACCTCTGAGTACTGCCTGGAACCGCCAGTTGGTTCAAACTGTGACACTTGGTGGGAACTGAATGGAGGAACACATAATGCCACTGTTGAAATATCTGCATTTACAACTGGATGTCTTTAAAGTCTTGCATCCATAATACAGTGACCAGTTCTGGCACTGAGGGGCCTATGGTACACTTCCTATATGTGAATCTCCTCTCACCTGTGACCAATGCGTTACTCTAATGGGAGAAATTTGGCTTCCTGTAGCTTGAGCCCATTTTTATAAGTCCTATACTTTGGGGATGATTGAAAACAGTTGCTGCCCTTCGCTATATGATACCCTTTCAAATATTTGAAAAAATGTTTTATATCTCCCATCAATATTCTTTTTTCAAGGCTAAACATGCCCGGTTCTTTTAGTATTTCCTCATAGGGCTTGGCTTCCAATCTCCTGATCATCCTTGTTACCAAGGTGGATTTTATTTAAATGAAGTCGATTTAAATCATAATTTAAATCCCTAGTCAGTAAGACTTGATTTAAATCATGATTTTTAAATGTAAAGACTAATTCTTGCTGATTGTTATAATCTTTAATATTTACAACCAGATGAAGACTTCATATTTAGAATGATAACCTGTCAGATTAGTAAAATAGCTGTATCAGCTATATATACGAGGAGCATGCTTTTATCAGCACTGATTTTAGTTTAATAGGTTATTCAGTCATATTTGGAGAACTACTTAAATTGTTTTATTTAACTCAAAGAATAACATTATTACAGCATACATATTCTTATTTGCTTAAACATAAGTATTCATTAACTGAAATGGTTAAGCAAAATATAGGGGAACTCCCCTATCCACGGATTGAGAATCTGCTGATCCACTGCCTCAAAATAATAAATCCCCCCCGAAATACATATTTATATGTATTTCCAGGGTGTATTTACCAGAACTGGTCATTAGAGGGATCCAGAGACTTTGCAATGTATGGCATTTGCCATATCCGTATTTTTCAGCATCTGCGAGGAGGCTTGGAACAGATTCCTCACAGACACGATAGTCCAACTGTAATGTGTTCATTGTACTGTACATCAATTTGCAGAACAACAATGGGATTAAGTTCTTTTCCTGAACTGTGTTTATTTTATACCATTTTTACTGTGAAAAAGTGCATGTTATCTCAGCTTGGATAACTTGGATTAATTGAATTAGTTTACCAAAAATCTAGGTATTGCATGAATATACAGTCTCATGCTACATAACTAAGCTCTGTTTCATGTTGAATAACCTTAAACTTTAATGTATCTTAAATAGAAAACTATTGTTATATAAATATTTCCTCCAAAAGCATTTAATTCAAATAAATTCAATTTAAGTTTAAAAATCCATTTATTTCATTTTTTTTTAAAAATTATCGATTTTAATCCACTCTGCTTGTTGCCTACTCTGAACTTGCTCCAGTTTGTTGGCATTTTTCTTAAAGTGTAGTGTCCAAAATTGGACATAGTACAGTGGATGAGGCATAACCAGTGCTGAATAGACAAGAACTAGTATCTCATGGAATTTAGAGACTATACTGTACTGTAGCCAAAAATGAATACTTATGTTTCATACTGCAGCCAAAACTGTGCTCACGACCTGGGGTTCAATCCCAGGTAGTCGGCTCAAGGTTGACTCAGCCTTCTATCCTTCTGAGGTCGGTAAAATGAGGACCCAGCTCGCTGGGGGGGGGGGAGGCAATGTGTAGCCTGCATAATTAACTTGTAAACCACCCAGAGAGTGCTTGAAGCACTATGGGGCGGTATATAAGCAGCACGCTTTGCTTTTTTAAAATATATATATACTTCTGTTAATGCATCCTAAAATAGCATTTACCCTTTTTTTGTAGCTGCACTACTGTTGGCTTATATTCAGCATCTGATCCAGGATCCTTCTCACTCGTAACATTATATGATCTCCACGGTGTGACTTTCATCAATGTTTCTCCCCCCCCCACCAGGAACAGATAGTATTTTTGGAAAAGAAGTTTGCAATTTGCTGCAGTGTTGAGCACTACATATAACCCTATTTAGTAATTTCCTCTTTGAATAGAATGACAATCCAAACTCCATATGCGACTCTGCAGGAGAAGTGCTCTTGTGTGTATGGTCTCCACACAAGCAAGAACTCCAATCTTCTATAGTGGGCATCCAGTTTTCCAGGGTCTTTCATGTTAAGATTTTTTTTTAATGCAAGCTGCAGTATCTCATCCCTTTCCACATGGATAAAACATGTTACAAAGGAGATCTGTCCTGTCAGCATGGTTCTTTTAACCATGTTAAGTAACACTGTGTAAATAACAGCTGTAAAGGGTATAACTTTTGTTAGCATCTAGTTCATAACTATGACTAATCACAGTTATTGCTGAAAAAGGAAGGCAGGAAATTGAATGTTTGTTTTGAGGAGTACATGAACTGGGAGGATGAGATTGGGAGGAATTCCTGGTCTCTTAACCATGGTTTTTTAAAAATAGAAAAGTTACAAACATATATATTCTGCTTTGAAGTGGGCTCCCAGTGGGTTCCCATCCGCATTACTGTGTAGGCTGATACTAGCTAAGCTCAGCAGTGAAGCAGCAAGTGGTTTTTCCAGACTATTCCCTACGACCATTCTTAAATATGCTTAAGAGATTGAGAAATATATGATTTCAGCTGAGCCATTTTCTCAAAATAAGGTATGGCTGTGTTGCCTGCTCCCTAAGAGTTTTTGTGGAATCAACTGTATCATATTATGATAAAAGTTGCAAGTTTGCATGATTTTAAAAAGATAAAGATAAAATATTGTAAACTGTCTAGAACCATTGGCCATGATATCCAAATAGATCTTCCATGCTGAAAAGCAATATACCACTGTGTTTGAAGCACATGGTTGGGATGGAACAGTGCCTTGTTTGTAAGCTTGACTGCCACTTCTGGTGATACATAAAAGACGTATCCTTTATAGGATTTAGTAGGACTTTTCTTATGCATGTCCTAGTCATGTTGTGCTTAATATAATAGAGAAGCTGAGCTTTGATGACTGGGAATAAAAAGGATTTATGCTTACCCTTTAAGGGCATGTTAGAACAAGAATCACCGTGTTAGACATTTCACTGCTATATTTTTGTCATCTTTATACAGAAGCTTCTGGGCAACGATAGGCACCTTATGAAGATGTTCTTCTGACTAAGATGTTCAGGATTCACTGCAGATAATGAATACTGTATTATGGCAGATAAATAAGAGGTGTGAAGGCATTTTTAGCTGCTTCTCATGAGAAGTAATCAGCTTTGAGCTTTGAGAATATTTTGTGCTCCAGTTGATATAGTCAGTATGCTGATGTGAGAGCAACATTTTCGTGTGTGCTTCAATTTTCAATCTAGAAATGTATAAATTTGACATTGATAATTTTGAACTTAATTATTATAATATTTTTCACTAATCTTTCATTAATTATATTACACAAAATATGTTTTTAAGGGATTCCATTGATGCAGGTCTTCCACCTCTTTTTGTATGGAGGATTTGCTTCTTTTTGTGCCAAATTTTACAGATTTTTTTTTTTTGGCTGAACTTAATATTAATTGTCTTTAAAATGTTTGTGTAAATCCTTTGTTTACAATGGTAAGCCCCACAGCTATTTTCTTCTCACTATCACCAATTTATTTTTTTAATGCTTTACCTGAGTGATGAATAATAGCTGGGGCACGCATGGGCATGAAAGTAGCTGTACTCCCAAATTCAAGACATAGAATTAAAGAAAAGAAGCCTTTTAGCATGTCACGCTTATGCTCTTCATTGCTCATTTCATGTAAGCTACTTGGTTGACTTCTTTTGCGGAGGTCATGCAAAACAGCACTACCTGAGTCACTGGGAAGTTCCTTTTTATAAGACGTGACAGAGGAAGCAGGCTAATAAAGCTATGGTTCAAAGCTTGGGATGATTGGTCTAAACACAATTTGAAGAAGAAAAGAAAAAAAGTCTATAAAAAAACCCAAGAAATCTTGTTACTTGGAATTCGACCACAGGTTCTGCAAAAAGTGTGATTCTGGTCAG